ATATATATATATATATATATATATATCATGTTGTTTCCCTAAATCATGTATGTTATAAAAATACAATTTCTACTACTATGAATAATGATTCTATTAAATATAGTGGTCATAACATATCATTATAAAATGAAAGTTTAATATTTTTTTGTGCTATTTTAGTTTTTTACCAGGAGGAAAAAATCATTTCACATTTGACGTATCATTGGATATTGATAAAATTTAAATTTAAGTTTTCTATTTTCTTTGTTATTGGAAAAAATTTAAGTCCCACGTCAGTTAGAGATTAAGCAATTAAATAATATATAAGTAGAAAACAACTCTTACCTTACAAATTGACTTTGTAGGGTTGAGTTAGGTTTCAATCTACTATTCTCTGATGGTATCAAAGCTATCATATATTCTTAAAAATGGGTCACCCACCATTGATCCACGTACCAAGCCTAATAGTGCTGGACGTGAGGGGTGTATTGGAAAAAATCTAAGTCTCACATCGACTAGAAATCAGGGCAACCCTAGTATCAGAGCTATCCTAAATTCTTAAAAATGGGTCACCTACCATTTATCTACGTACCAAATTCAATAATATTGGGCGTGAGGGGATGTATTAGGAAAAATCTAACTTTTGCCAATCTTAGATCATTAAAAAGGTCATTCACCATTTATCTACGTACCAAACCTAATAGTATTGGACGTGAGGAGGTGTATATCATCCACTATTTATCTATATCAAACCCAAAACTTAAGTCTCACGTTGAATATATGAGTGAAAAACAATTCTCATTTTATAAATCAAATTTATAAGATTAAATTAGGCTTAAATAAACTCATTTAAGATTCACAAGTTTAGAAAAACATTGAAATAGTAATTCGTCAAACATGCCATCGTATGCAGTGATTTTGAATTATTTACATCAATCATTTCTTACGTGAGCACACAATATGTGGCTAAAAGAACTTTGTCGGCCAAATTATTAGCATTGGTCCGAAAGTAATTTCGATGGGAAATTGTGTTAGATAATTGCGGGATTAATTTTATAAAAATTAGAGAGATTGAGGCACTTTTGTGTTTTTAATAGATATACATAAGTATAATATTAAAAAACTATATATAATTATTTAAAAAATATTTTTTTATATTTAAAAGATATAATAATCTATTAAAAACAAAAAATAGTTACATATTTTTATATCTCTTTTATAATAAATATAGATATTTTTCCTCTAAAAAATCTTCGAAAAATTTAATACGTCAAAATATTAAAATCATCTAAAGTTACTAACAAATGTAAATCATTGAGTACTGATCTAAAAGACGAGTCAGAAGATTTTTTCAGAACATATAGCATTTCTCTTAATTTTATTGTCTAGAATTTTAATATTCTCAATAAATTTTTAATTCTGTGTGAATAGAATTTACATATAAATTATTATAATTAAAAACTCTAATAAAATATTTTGTTCAGATAAATTATATTTTAAATCATAATAAGCAATTTATCATAAAAAAAATATTTTAATCATTTGTACGTTTTTAAAATATAAAAATTTAACTTAAAAATAAAAATGGAAACAATGAATTGAAAGAGATAAAAATTTTAAAAAAATATTAAAATAGTTTTCATCAAAGAAAAAATTAATTAAAATACGAGCGTAGAAGAATTGCAAATACTTGCATTCAAAATATTTATTCTAATTTTAAATGAATAAAGTACATATATACATAGAGAGAGTATCCAATAAGAGTAAGTGCTATTATGAGATATGAGAAAAATAAATTATAACATTTTGAATTATAAATAAAAAAAATTAATAACAAGATTAGAGCTCAATTATAAATATTTTTTTATATTGTTATTATTATTAGTAAGTCTAAATAAATTTATTCTTTTAATAAATAGATTCCTCTCCAATATATATATATATATATATATATATATATATTGCATAATATAACTTTATATCTATATTAATATATAAAGGGATATATAAAGGGGATACCCTTTTTAGTAACTACCTTGGTCTCTACTTTTTTTAGACCATTATACCTTTTTATTTTAAAAAATTAGAAAAATTATTTTTTAATCAAATTTAAGAATTTGAAACTAATAAATCATTTTTACAATAAGTACTTTTGGTTTTCATTTTTACATGAATCATTTTATTTTTTTATTTATTTTTTAATAACTACTTTTTTATGAGTAACTTCTCATTTTTTTTAATTTTTTTTAATATAATGCAGGCACGAGTGTCTTTTTCCTGTTAGTGATGATAATGAAGTTACAAAAGTCTATTTAATGTCTTTTCTACATATTTACGAGAGAAAAAAAAATTAAATATTTTATATAAATTAAAATTAACTAATCTATAAATTAAAATTTAATTTTTAAAGAAGCTAATAATATTAAATAATTTATCTTACTTTTGTACAAAGATTCATGAATAAGTATATTTAAAAAAATCCTAAGTTAATTATGAGGACTAATACTATAACACCTACACACATGTATCTCTATATATATATATTATCAAAACTAGACTTAAAGTTTCAATAACTCGATACTTGTTTGATTAATTAAACTAGATCTCGATGCTATAGACTAAAGTTCACTTATATGTATGTAACTTTTTATTTTCTATTTTTTTTTTAAGAAAACACATGTATGCAACCCAAACAGTGTCTAACTAGACACTCCAATCAAATTTTAATACATCATACAAATTAAGACTTTTTTTTAATAAAAATTACATTGATAATATTCATAATTATGTCGATTATAGCAATTTTAAGACATTGTTTTATACATAAGTGTAATGCCACAGAATATTATTTTTATATTAAAATAATATATGCTATATTTTCACAGCACATTTTATTTCCCTTTAAAATTGTATTGTTAAACACTAAATAAAACAGAAGTCCAACATAACATTTAATCTGTTTTAACAACTTAAATAAAAGTTTGCATTATTATTTTTTACAATTAAAATATCAACATGAAATGAAATAATCTTAACACATGTTTCCACAGCGAATCAAAATAAAAATTAAATATGTAGATTATATCATACGCTAAAGTCTGAATCTGACGAGTGAATTTTGTGAATTGTACATTGTCCAATGCAGTACTAACACAAACACATGACGTTGCACGCTCTTTTTTTACCAATGCTAACCTCCTCAACAACCTCCTCTTTACAGATGAATAACAATCAGCAACGCAACAACGACCCTTCTTTGGAGACAAAATAGAAAAAAGTCTGTTCAGCAAAACGGTCAATCACGCACTCAAACGACACACGAGAGATATGCCATTCAAGATTCCCTCACAAAACAAATAAAAAAAAAGAAGCCTATAAACGACAAGAGAAATAGAAAAACTACAGGCCCAAATTCGCACATCGTCGTAGATCTGCAACCTCTCTTGGCTTCAATTTCGTTTCCTCATCCATCAATTCAATCAATCCACTTAGATTCGTCTCCGAGCTCCAATCCGTCCTCGCAGGTCAGCTCCTCTTCTTCGCTGCAATTTATTCTCTCTCTCTCTCCGTTTCCATTTTTCAAAATGTTTGGATTTTCCGATTCCGCAAATAACAAAGCCTCTACGCTAGATCTTGATTCGCATCATCAAAACGACACTATTCATTTCGTTTTATTCTCGTAATCGGAATTTAAAGTAAATACCACAATTATTAGAAATTTAGGATCTGAAATGATAAATCAACCTATTATTTTAATTTTAAACTGTCGTTGATGCGGTTAATTAACTTACGCGTGCTTGTACGCGATTAATTGTGCACAATGGCGTTAAGTTATATACTTATTATTATATATATGTGTTAGATTTGTGAACGAATTCGTTATTATTAATTTATTATTATTTTTTTTTTTGTATGCAGATTGTGAATTGAATGGAAGGAACTGGAGGCAGCAGTGCCTCGGCTGCTGCACCCGTGAACCAATGGTGGCAGGAATTTTCGAAGATTTTTCAATATTATCTTGATAAGTCTACGCCACACGCTACGTATAGATGGATTGGGAGTTTGGTTTTTGTGTCGATATACGTTTTACGGGTTTATTATGTCCAAGGATTTTATGTTGTATCTTATGGACTGGGAATCTACTTGCTAAATCTGTTGATTGGGTTTCTGTCGCCGTTGGTTGATCCTGAGATGGAGCCGTCTAACGGGCCTTTGCTACCGACTAAAGGTTCTGATGAGTTCAAACCGTTCATTCGTCGACTGCCTGAGTTTAAGTTCTGGTAATTTAGGATTTCTGTTGAGTGGGTGGTTAGCATATTAATTTAATGTTGTCATTAATTAATTGCTGTGAAATTTCATATCAGCATTTTGAACTTTTCAAAGGAAACTTAAGTTAAATATGAGGTTCATGTTAATATAGTTGCTGGCTTGCTGCTTCATTGCCTCTTTACTTGGTATCCGGTGTTTTTTATGTTTGTCATTCTACATATTTTGATATGATTCTGAGTCATTTCTGAATTCCATTTGTAGTATAAGCCTCATAAAGATAATGACTATCTTGAAAATATTTCCCCAATTTCTCCATTTGCTTTACCAGAGAACATTTTTCTTATCATTAGACAATAATTCCAGTCTTCAGGAAGGACAAATAAGAAACAACAAAAAGCTATTAGTAGCCCCATCTTTGACTACATTTAATCATTCAATAATCAGTTCACCGCCATAGGCATTTTGGCCACAAGCTGTTAGTCAGTCCACACATCAAAGTTGATAATTACATGCGAATGATCTTACCCTTCTTAAAATGTTTTTTGAATCATAAACTTTCCTAATCATATTATTTCCTATTGAACAAAGTATTGTAAGTATCTTTTTGCGTCTTATTTGTTTTTCCGGTTTGATCTTCAAAAACATTGAGAGTTTGATCAGTTGTATTCAAAACTTGGAAATATACCTGTTTCATATTCATAATGCATCGTACAATTTGATTGTGTTGGTCTGTCTACCTTAATTTCAAATGACTGTCTATATTGCTTTGTCACTCCAATTTTATTTTTTCTTTTGAAATTTTGTTTCTTTAATTAATACAATTGTGACTTCTGAAGTTCTCTGTCTCATTGATCATTTACATGTTTATAAAATTTTAAACATTATTATTTGGACTTGATTGTCTGGCCAATGGCCAGACAAATTTCACACACTTTCCTCAAAAACTTAATTGTAAGAATTCAAACGACTAAAATTAATACGGGGGCTGTTCTTACATGATAAATTGTGTGGATATCCCCTTTTCCTTATTGAAAAATGAAAACCAACTTTTATGGAGAAAATATTGTTTGAATGAAGAATTGAAGATTAGATGGTGTATGGCTGGAATATCGTCCCCTTTTCAGTGAGTTTGGTGTTGTGGGTTGAATTGTTTAGTTAATCTTTCTTGAAAGAGGGTGGAGCTATTTATGTGCATTCCTTTATATTTTTTTAACTAATAACACAATATCAACTTGCTAATGCCTACCTTGCTTATGTTGGAAACAATTTAAATAAATCTCCTTTGATGGATGAGGATAATGATTTGAATTGTTATTAGAGTAAATTATACTGACACCCTTTAAAATTTTGCGAGATTGCACACAACCCTCTTGCTTTTTGAACATTTACAACAATCTCTCTTACAGGGAGTTACAACATAATGTTTTTCAAACAATATATGGGGGTTAATGTAATGTTTAAGATGTGTCAGTGTAATTTTTTTTCAGACAATTAAGGAGGATTTGTGTAGGGGTAAAAAAATAGTACGGTGTGCGCAATCTCACGAAACTTCAAGAGGTGTGCATATAATTTACTCTTGTTTTTTTTTGTTGCCACAGGTATTCTTTCACAAAGGCTTTCTGCATAGCGTTTGTGATGACTTTCTTTTCTGTATTTGATGTTCCCGTTTTTTGGCCAATATTACTCTGTTACTGGGTTGTTCTATTTGTTCTTACAATGAGGCGCCAAATTGCACACATGATCAAATACAAATATATTCCGTTCAACATTGGAAAGCAGGTTAGTTATCTTATTTAAATTGCCTTTCATCATTCATCGCATGCACCTATTATTTGTTTTTTACATTTTGTCCAGCAGAAACAAGAATTACTGTAATTTGTATCATTTACCTAAAAGATAGAAGTAATGTATTTGTTTCAATATGTTGCAGAAGTATAGTGGCAAAAAGTCTTATGCAAGCAGCAGCGGCACCCGTGCCGACTGAATGATTTGAAGAAAATACAGATCTTAAAGTTAGGTTTGTGGACATCCTGGATAGTTGATTTTTCCCTTTTCATTTGAAGGAATTTGTAATCATAGTATGATAATAGATGCCAATATGTAGTTACAAAATTATTATTTGTGTCCACTCGTGTTATGATACCAGAAGAAATGCTAATGCTGACATTTAACGTCATTGGGGATATACATCAGTATTTGATTTAGTTTTAGATTTTAATCTTGTATTGTGATGTTGCAACTTTTCCTTATAATACCATGATTTGATGACAAATTTCATATAGCTCTCTAATTTTTCTCTTGTTTAGGAAAAAACAATTGCCTTTTGAGTTTCTACCTCTTTACTCACAAGGTTGTTGACAAAACTATTGACAATTCGACATTGTCTCTTCCCGTGTATTTGTTTTTTTCCATCCAAAAGTAAATCTTATTTTTTGGGCCCATGGCTTATTCTTTTTGCTGCCGCATTTGAAAGGGTTTACTTGCCATAGTTCATTGGTGTAACAATAAAAAGACAATTCATCGGAAAATTAAAAAATTCCATCGACGGAAGATGATGTTATATATATCCATTAAAGTTAAATTAACATGGAATAAACATAACTGTTTGAAGATGTGATAATAGCATCAACATTTATTTAAAATATGATTAAATGGATCAGTAGTCAACATTGTAATCGCGTAACAGGTTGTCATATATCCAGTAATGTTGAATTAACGCAGGATGTTTCTAATAAAAAATGTTATGAACAAATATGTTTGAGGATATGATAATGTGTTGTAACTTAATATTGGTGATTTTTAATTTAATTTTTTTATTTGAATAGAAGTTTGTGTATTTTTATTAGGATTTTTAATTGACCGGCTAAGCGCGAAGTTGAATATGTAGGTTTAACATTACATTGAGTAAAAAAATTTATAGTTTTTTTTCCACTTATTTAGTCAGCATTATCCATTTGATTTCTCCTCTCAAATTGAAATATTTTTCTCGGACAACTCCAGTATGATAAGACATGGAGAACAATTACAGTTGAATGGCTTAAATCATCACCCAAAATTCTTACACGGTCTGCATCTCGTCATATTTAAAATTTTTAGGAGAAAATCCAATTCTTTGAACATAGCGGAAGATAATGATGCAGTTTCCCTATGAGTATCGACTCTTCACCCCTTATCTTCCCATATTTCCTAGAAATCGCATCGTTAAAATTATCTTTTCACTTTCATAAATATCAACCGATATTAATATATTAAATTGTGAGTACTGATCATAGGATTAGAAGAAGTGAAGAACACAATCCAATTTCGATGGCATTGTTAAATTCTTCTAGTATAAATTTTATTTACACAAGATGATACACTAATCCAATCTTTAATTAATATCTCATATCTAAACATTAAATAAATATTAACCCCTATATTTTATCCAATTTAAATTAATATTTATCTAACTTCACAAAACTGTTACCTTACAGCGTTCTAGTGGGCCAAAAAATCTTGATGGGCCCATTCTCCTAAAATTTGAGTCCAATAAGAAAAAAAGCAAGGCCAGCCCTATTTGCTTTGGTTGTATTCAGTCCCAAAACCCTAACAAAAACCCGGCGCGGAAGCTTTGCAGTCGCAGCAACAATGGGGAAGGCGAAGGGGAAGCACCGTTTGGACAAGTACTACCACTTGGCGAAGGAGCACGGTTACAGGTCGAGGGCATCATGGAAGCTGGTCCAGCTCAACTCCAAGTTCCACTTCCTGGAATCCTCACGCGCCGTCCTCGACCTCTGCGCCGCCCCCGGCGGCTGGATGCAGGTGGCGGTGCAGCGCGTTCCCGTCGACCACCTCGTCATCGGCGTCGACCTCGCCCCCATCGCTCCCATCCGCGGCGCCATCGCCATCCAGGAAGACATCACCAGGCCCGAGTGCAAGTCCCGCATCAAGAAGCTCATGAACGAACACGGTTGCCGCGCCTTCGACGTCGTCCTCCACGACGGTTCCCCCAACGTCGGCGGCGCCTGGGCGCAGGAGGCCACGAGCCAGAACGCTCTCGTCATCGATGCTGTTAAGTTGGCCACTCAGTTCTTAGCTCCTAAAGGCATCTTTGTAACCAAGGTAATAATTATTATTATAATCTCGTTTTAGTTATACCTAATTATGCTCCAATAGTGTGGTTCTGATTGTTTTGTAATTGTTTCTGCTTTGTTGTGTGATAGATTTTCAGGTCGCAGGATTACAGTTCTGTTGTGTATTGCTTAAAGCAGGTGATGAGATGGTTTTTAACTTTTTATTGAGAGCATAGTTGTTTTGTGTGGCGTGGATTGTTGAAATTTGTTTGTTGCTGTGGTGTTGGAATTTTTTCTTGCGTTGCAGTTGTTTGAGAAGGTTGAGGTGGATAAACCTGCGGCTAGTCGTTCTGAATCCGCTGAGATATATGTTTTGGGGCTTAGGTACAAGGCTCCTGCCAAGATTGATCCGCGTCTTCTCGATGTCAAGCATCTCTTTCAAGGGTCTGTGGAGCCCCAGTCTAAGGTAATTGAGTTTGTTTTCAGGGATCCTGGTTTGGCAATTTTTTTTTTTCGTTTTTGGTTGTTTAATTTGATTTTCTATTGGTGATGGGTGAATCGTTGATGCAGGTGGTGGATGTACTTAGAGATAATAAGCAAAAAAGGCATCGTGATGGGTAAGTATTGCTTCTTTACAAGACTTGGCTTGACTGTTAATTTGTTCTGCTCATTATGGGTAATCTTAACTATTATCTGCTATATTCATGATGAATATAACAAACTAATTTAAAAGATTGCCAAGGTATCCTGAAAAACAGAGAACATTAAGAATGAAAAAATGATGGTAGTTCAACTACTTGGTCTGATTTATTGCTATAAATAGTAGGCTTATTGATCCCCACCACCCTCTTAACTTAATTGTTCACCCTTTTATTGTGGTCTTGTGCTTCAAACATATGGTATGTACTTGTTGCTAACTACTACGTGACTACAGATATGAGGAGGGAAACACGACTTTAAGGAAGATATCTACTGCTGCAAATTTCATTTGGTCAGATTCTCCTCTGGAGATCCTTGGTTCAGTCACTTCAATAACCTTTACTGATCCAGCTGATTTACCAATCAAGGATCATGAACTAACTACTGAAGAGGTAATTTTGTCTAAATTATTTGATCAAGCATTTTTTTGGTAATCAGTAGGGATTTGAACAATTAATGTTGTTAGTTTTCAATTTTTAATGCTTTAAACTTTGCTGTTTGCAGGTGAAATCTCTCTGTGATGATTTAAGGGTTTTGGGGAAGCAAGACTTCAAGCATCTTCTAAAGTAACCACATGGCTTGAAATTTAGCATTATATTTGGTGTATTTTTTTTAAAGCTCGATACCAATTTTCCTCCCCTATTGTGTGGGGGTTTGATGTTGTATCTATTGGTTGCATGTAGGTGGAGGATTCACATTAGAAAAGCTCTTTCACCAGCTAAAAAGGCCGATCCTACCACTACAGAACAGGTGGAAAAGGAACAGAAGGTGGATGAAGAAGATAGAATCCTCAATGAAATGGAGGAACTTACCAATGTTATGGACCGCAAGAAGAAACGTGCAAAGAAGCTTCTTGCAAAAAGAAGAGCCAAGGTTTGTAGCTTAGCTGCCACTTATTAAGTTGGGATTGGATTTGCAGTTGAAATAAGTTTCGGATTCTGTGTAAGATTATTGTTGATATTTATATGCAGACTATGATATAGGATAATATGCTCACAAAATTATACACTATGTTTGGTCTGTCAAATGATTTCAGGAATTGTACTTGACAAGAAACAAATTTTAATCCTGTGTCATGACATGCTAAGCTCAATTCTGTCTGTTCCTATTTTTAAGTGGGTGCACAAGATCAAGCTGATTCATCTCTTTAATTATTTGACTCTTATAGGACAAGGCACGAAAAGCAACAGGGATGCAAATGGATGCAGTAGAGGATGGTTATGTAGATCTGGAGTTGTTTTCTCTTTCCTCTATCAAGGTTTGCTTTAATCTTTTGAACATCTCTTGGTTTGGACAAATGATATAAACATATAAACTGTTTTTTCTTTCTAATTTGTTTTGCCTCTGTAAAACTGAATTACAGATTGTTTGTTTGATGTATTCTTCAGAATTTACCTTTTTTTTTTGTATCTGGATGTTCTAGAATGTAATATTAGATTACTCATGTTGGGTGGCATTTAGCAAGTGCCTTACTAATCCTTTAACTCTACGGATCCATGCACAGCAAACAGACATTATAGTTTTTAGGGAGTTACATATTTCGTATGTTTGCAAATGTCCTCTGCATCCCTTCCTTCATAAGAAAACCAGACCAAGGGAATCTCTTAACTTTTGAATTGGGTTTATTTTTTCTGTTCATTGAATGGTTTATATTGTGAATGGGATAACTATGGCTTCATGGTATGAAATTTAATAGCAATTCCTTTTTACATGGTTTAAAAATCTTCGATTTGGCATGAATTTTTTTTCTTGATTGTTTGGCTTGGGTTTTCAGGGTAAGAAGGATCTGGTAGCTGTTGACAACACTGAGTATGAAGGTGATGAGGTTGAAGACAGTGAAAATGAAGAAATCCATGAAGGTCAAAAGCATTCATCCAGTGACTTGGATGATTCTGATGAGGAACGTAAAAGGTGATTGCAGGTTCTTTTGATACTTGCTCATGTTATGTTGTTCTGTTATTACTTGATTTCTTCCTTGTTAATTTGTAACTTGTGATGATTTTAAATGAATGTTATACCAATATCAGATATGATGAACAAATGGAAGATTTGTTGGATCAAGCTTATGAGAAGTTTGTTATCAGAAAGGAAGGAAGTACAAAGCAGCGGAAGCGAATTAAAAAATCCTATGATGCAGAGGCCCAACTTTTAGAGGTATGAAGTTTTTTTCCCCCTTTTTTTAAATGATTGTGGTATGCTTAGACCTTCACTCTGTTTAAGGATATAAAAGAAGATTAAGAAAATGAGATATTATAACGTGATTTTTGAAAACCCTCCCTTGCTTTCTTTTCTGAATTTTTGGACTTTTCCCAAATATTTAAGATTTTAATATTTAAATATCCGGAGGGAATAAACACCCTTATTTAATCCACTATCTTATACTTCAAATTTCCATTAATTTATTCCCATTCTCCTTACATCCAAACAAACCTTCAGTGTTCAACTATGAAGCTTGCTGCTAACATAAACTTTTGTTTTTATTTCGATTTGGCTTGTTTTATCAACTTCCTAGTTAATTCTCTTTAGGGTTGGTATATTTGTTTTGTCAAATGCTTTTTTTATTGTTTAGAACCCTGGAAGGATGCTTCTTTTTTCTTTCTTTTCTTTCTGGACGGGGAGGTGCAAAATGATTTTTTACACGTAGATTATGACCTTTTGGCTTGTGCAGGGTGGTGAGGATGATGATATTGTTGAGTCCAAGTATGATTCAGATGAAGATCAGGCTGATCAAGAAGCGAATCCATTAATGGTGCCACTTAATGATGGGGCAGAGCTCACCCAAGAGGAGATCATGAATAAGTGGTTTAGTCAGGATGTGTTTGCTGAAGCTGCCGAGGAAGGAGACTTTGAGAAGGAAGAGAGTAAAGATGAAATGGATATAGATGAGCCTAAGGAGAAGACATCCATTGCAAAAAAGGTCAAGGAAAATAAAACAACAGCTTCAGCAGTGGTAGACCACCCTCAATCTCAAGCTTCCAAAGCAGCAGAGGATTTTGAAATAGTTCCTGCGCCTGCGACTGATTCAAGTGACGATTCATCCTCTGATTCAGAATCAGAGGAGGAAGATATTGAGGCCAAAGCTGAGATATTGGCTTACGCTAAGAAGATGTTGAGGAAAAAGCAACGGGAGCAGATACTGGATGATGCATATAATAAGTACATGTTTGATGACGAGGGATTGCCCAAGTGGTTTCTAGATGAGGAGAAAAAACACCGCCAACCAATAAAACCTATTTCCAAAGAAGAAATTGCAGCTATGAAAGCGCAATTTAAAGAAATTGATGCTCGGCCTGCGAAGAAGGTGGCAGAGGCCAAAGCACGGAAGAAGCGTGTTGCAATGAGGAAGCTGGAGAAGGTGAGGAAGAAGGCGAATGCTATATCTGATCAGGCAGACATATCTGATCGTTCGAAGAGGAAGCAAATTGAACAACTATATAAAAAGGCTGTTCCGAAGAGGCCTAAAAAGGAATATGTAGTTGCAAAGAAAGGTGTCCAAGTAAAGACTGGCAAGGGAAAAGTTCTTGTTGATCGCAGAATGAAGAAGGATGCTAGGAAACGTGGAATGGGTAAGGCAGGAAAAGGAGGTTCCAAGATGAAGGGCAAGGCTCCAAAGGGCAAAGCATCTTCAAAGGCCTCTGCCAAGTCCGGAAGACACAGGAATAAATGAAAATAGAAGATCTCCAGAGTTCAAAGTCATGGGTTTTGTCGTATTTTCTCGGCCCAAATTTTGTTTTTTCATTTCTTTTCCTGCTTGTTATTGTGCAATAGATATTAGAATTAACGAATATAGCTGTTTTGTTCTTCATAAAGGAAAATGTTAAATTAATTGAAATTCGTCTTATTAGCAGCTTATAAAGTTCTTAGTTTAGTAATTGATTGTGGTCAGCGGTATCTTTATGTGCTCGATTAGACTTCTATAAAATTGGGACTGACATATGTATAACTTGGTTGAATTGCACATTTATATTGAAATGTTGAAAAATAAGAAAAGTAGGAGTATAACTATTTTTTTGTGTGGATAAATTTGGAGTATCCTCCATTGAATATGTGAACCCTAAGAAGGTTATTTGAATCGGCGAGGGCGAGGGAGAGGGAGAGGGAGAGGGAGAGGGAGATGGAAATGGAAAAGATGAAAATATTGATAAATGGGGCGACGGGAAACCTGGGTTACCATTTAGCGGAAGCAAGGCTGAAGTTTAGGCATCCAACATTCGGTCTTGTGAGACGAGGCGAGCATTGTTGAGGCTGTGAGTGTGAGCCAAGTAGACGTCGTCATTTGCGCCGTTTCAGCCAAACACACTCTGCATCAAAGGCTTCTTATCCGCGTTATCAAACAATCTCCCTCCATCAAGGTCATCCATGCATTTCTCTTTCTTTTTTATTCCTCCATAACCTTTCCAACATTAATAACATTTAACATATTCTATAACAAATCTTCTTTAGATTACAAATATCTAATATTTTATAGCTTCAAATATTATTTTAGCCATAGTAAAATAAACTATTTTTATTATGGTTTTTTTTTAATCTTTATTTTTCATTCCTCAATAATTAAAATGGTTGATTTTAATCTTTAATTTTAATATTATGTGATCATTGTTAATTATTTTTGTATTTATCATGTGATAAGTGATTATTTCAAATGACACACAACTCTATTTAGTATTATGTTAGTATATAATATCTCTAATTTTTTTAATAAATTTTTAAGCTAAATTTGATTTATTTACTTTTAAATGAGCGAACACAAATAATGACCTTAAATTTTAGAGAAATAAAAATTAAAGAAAAAATATTTTATAAAATGTAAAATCAAAATTTAATTATTTTACGGGATAAAAAGAACAATTCCAATTTTTTTATGGATAAAAAAAAATAAAATTTTATAGTGATTAAAATCAAAATACGTTCATTTTACATATATTAAAAATATATTTAAATCTATTCTAAATTATGAAAATGGATTGTATGAGTAAAGACATTCTTATTTGTAGATTTATAATAATAATAATAAATTTTTTTTGCATTAACAAATTAAAAAATACAATTAATTAAGTTCAAATATAAACTACCATTTATTTATGATAAATTGTTAACTTTTATATAAAAAAAAATAATAAGTAAAAAGTCGCACCACTGATCTATTTGTTTGGCTGGTTGTGCAAAATTAACTTACATCGATGAATGAACGTTAAATTCATATTTAAAAGGAACAAAAACTATATAAAAATTATATGAAGCGGGTTTCTTGAAAAAAACAAATAATAGTTGATCAGGAAAATGGGAATTTAATATAATAGTTTATTTAATTATCATAATCACTGTTATTTATTTATTTTTATTTGATAAAGACGATTAATAAGATAAATAAAGTAATACTAATTATAAAAAATAACCATAATAAAGATGAGAATCTATTTTTTAAGAAAAAAAAAACACTTTAATCTTAATATTGTTCGTTTACTAACTATAGCTTCTTATCTGTTTAGATGGTGAGGAAATTATATTAATTGGTATTGTCTTTTAAGCTTAAAATAAGGACTTTAATTGCCTCAACTGTAATCGAATGTTGAAAATGTTTCATGGTTATTAGCCAATCTTTGATTATTTGTGTCTTTGATATTTGCTAATCTCTATATCATACATTTAAAAAATTTTATATTAAGAAAGAAAATTGATAACTCTATTGTCAGGTGAAGATTAATTGATCGTGATGATTTTAGACCACAATAAGTACCGGTTCAGGACTATATGTTTTTGATCTTAGACAATCACCATGTGACATGTAGTTGACTTTTTTAATTTACAATTTTTTTTAATAAAACTCCAATATGAGTTACTATCATGTAGAGATCGATCGAAATTATAGATATACTATTGATCACGGACCATAGAATATTTTCTGCTTCAAATGATGAATTTTGACCTTCTTGATTGAAGAACTGTTGATGGGTATTGCATTTTCTAAAGCTGTCATAGTCCTTCACTAAGATATATGTAGCCATAGTTCTCCATATCCCTGTGTTTTGATTACGTTACTTGAGTTATTAAATGTGTTCAATAATCTGTTATTAATTAACCGTGGGCCTCAGAGGTTCATCCCATCTGAATTTGGATCAGATCCTACCAAGGTTCGAGTTTCTGAGCTTGATATATAATGGCTATAATTTCTATGCACCCAAAGTTGAAATCCGTCGACTTGTGGTGAGGGCATTCCATACACTTTCATCTCATGCAATTTCTTTATGAGGATTTTGCTTCCTTCTCTTGCTCAGCCTGGTTTAGATGCTCCTCCAAGGGACAAGATCACCATATTTGGTGATGGCAACACAAAAGGTATGCTCCATCAATCTAACACCATTGTTATTCTCTTACTTGCTTCTTAATTGCTTGTTCATTTTGCAGCTGTCTTCATGAAGGAAAGTGATGTTGCTGCCTTCACTATCAGTGCAGTTGATGACCCTCGTACGTTAAATAAAGTGTTGTATTTGAGGCCCCCAGGAAACCTTTGTTCTTTGAATGACCTGGTTAATATGTGGGAGATTAAGATCGGCAAGATGCTTGAGAAATTGCATGTCTCTGAAGAAGAGTTGCTCCAGAAAATCAAAGGTATTTAGTAGTAGTATATATACAACTTATCTATAAATTAAAGTAAATTACTCTAGCACCACTTGAGATTCATAAAATTGCATTATATTCCCTATTTTTTTTTTCTATCTTTGTACTAATTTGTAACTATTTGTTGTCATGATCCTACACTTAACAATTCCTATTCGCAGCGGAATAATAAAACAACTACCTAAGATTCATACACATATATAGTTTCTGAAAACAGTGATAATACATATATGCAAATAATGTTTCGCAACAACAACCGAAAGTGTATATGTATATAAAGTAATTATGTTAGTGTTTCTTGTTGGTTAAGATTGATTGAAAAATTATACAATGTATTAGAATATATTTGGATACAAGTTAGAAGCCATTGTGAGAGTTTCTCTATTAAAAATAAGTATTTTTAAGTAACAAAGTTTTCAATAACGTTTATAAATTTGTATCCAAACAAATTCTTAAAAAGAAAGACTAATTGATGGTTATGAAATCTCTTTTGAATTATATATATATATTTACAAATTCTTATTCTAAAAGGAAAGTGTGAGAGAAAACTCTAACAACGCTTGCATTGTTTTGGGGGGAATATATTGCAGGAACATCTTTCCCTGCCAACTTCGAGATGCTCTTTATATATTATGCTTTCATAAAGGGAGATCACACATACTTTGATATTGAACCATCCTCTGGTGTGAATGGTACACAACTATATCCTCATCTGAAATATACCACAATCAGTGAATTCTTAGACACACTAGTTTAGTTTAGACTTCGTTTGGGAATATTGGGAAAATGTGCAGTGCACATATTTTTACGTTGAAAATTTCCATTCTTTCCATGTTGTGTTTTTTTGTATATTTTTCTAAACACAACTAAAGAATGTATGTGTTGACTGTGTTGAACAAATTAATAATGCAATGCCCGCACTGTTTCTTGTCTGAAAAAACTGCACTTTTAGGATTTTTTTTATTATCAAGTCTATTTTATTATGATTTTTTAAAGTAATTATTACAAAAATAATTTTTATTTATTTAATATTTCATGATTGATTGAGTGTAAAAAGCTTTTACACTGTATTGTAATTAAATACAAATAGTATTTAAAATAATTAAATATCTTTAAATTAAATAAATATATAAAATCAAAGTTTTAAATATAATTAACAATCACTTGAGCCTTACAAAAATGTCAACTTTATTTAGCATTTATTTATCAGAGTTAAAAGTCAACAAAGGAGATTTGACTATTTTTGTTGAGCGAAGCTTTGACACATGTCAGATTGTCAGTTGTAGAGGGGCTAATTTATCACAATATTGTGAATATTACACATGCATTATACCATTTTTTTTAAATTCCAAACGATATGTTTTTCAAAAGAAAGTAAGGTTAATTACCATAATTTTTTCAAATAATGGATAAAAGTAAAATTAAAACACGAGGCTTAGATAGACACGTGACAGAATTAAAATAGCTCTATTAATACATGGTTTTAACATCACCAAACATTATGACTCAACGATTCTTTATTCGAACTACTATGTTTTATTTTGTAATATACTAATAACAGGATATTATGTATCATATATCATATCATAACACGTGCAGATATAGTGGTGTAGACGTTATTAATAAAAATTTTGTACACCGTTAACCAGTATAAACCGGTTTAAGTAAAACGGCGTGCAAGAATCATTGTGATTGAAGAACTCCTCCAAAGTGGTGTATTTAATATCAGGATAGAGCTCTGAAGCTTCAACTCCAAATGAGGGTTCTATTTCGTAGTTAGTGTGATCTCCCTTAACATATGCAGCGTGGCAAATTGACATAGCCATATTGAAGGGAAATGAAGACTCTACAAAAAAAACGAGAAACAACTTCCAATTGTTAGCACAGACATATATTTAGAAGTCCTTTGCCCAAAGAATTTCAAATTCACTAAAGAACTTGATTTGTGAAATAAAAGAAGCCTTCATCATGCATTTCTTATAACTAACAGGAAATTTTTTCATCTTGAATATGTATAATAAGTTAATAACTAATGAGAAGAAAAAAAAACGGATTTATTTTACACCGTGATCCAATCATAAATTACCATGTTGAAAAGTTTGTTAAATTTTAAGGTTTAGGATTTATATTATCTTTTAAGTCAAGTTTATTGACTTTTATAATAATCATCTTAAAAATCATATCAACATTGATTTCTGATTAATTGACACTGTAATTTTTTTCTACTGAAAATACATGATCATCAAATCCCTAATTGTGATCAATTACTAACCTTCAATATACTTCAAAACTTGTACTTCAGGTACATAGACTCTTTTGAGATTCTTACTATGTTTCTTCTCCCAAAGAGATACTAGGTCATTATATGATATGATGTTGGCTGGGGGTTTAATGTAGAGAATTTTGTTCAAGGTTCTTGGATCATCAACACTTCTAATGGTATAAGTGGCAATATCCTTTTCGGTATTGAGAACAGCTGTTAATCAAGCAAAAGTTATTAGAAAAATATGTCTGATATGTAAATGTCTAATCTTAATGCAAAAACTATGTTTACCTTTGGCCTTTCCATCTCCAAGAATAACAGTACTATCTATCAGGCCAGTTATGGGTCCAAGATCTGACCAAGTGGGTAGGTAGTGTCCAATAAAAGAGTTGGCCACCACATAGGTATGAGGAATTCCTTGAGCCTCAATGGTTCGACGAATTTGGGCTTTAGTGTCAAATAAATTCTTTCCTTCATCCAGGGCATGGGTTCGATCAACATCATGTCCAAATTCTGAAGGAAAGAATCTCTACAAAAAAATAGTTATAAGAACAAGTCCAATATATAAATGTACATAATCAGTTATTAGGTAACTACAAAAATTTCTTCAAATAATAACATGTTTTAGGGTTATATGTGCATTTTAAAACAAGGTTTATGCTATATATATATATATATATATATATATATTATTCTTAAAATAGTACATAGGAGATAACACATCCATAACTACTAGGTAAAGAGAAAATGACATTTTGAAAATCCTCATGTCAAACACCACCGTCCACTAAGTAGTGTTAACCAAAGTTTAACATTACATATTCAGCTTGATCAAAAGCTTTACTTATTGAACTAAGAGTCAATAGAGGCTCATTAGAGCAGTTTTACATTTGATGTCAAAAGATCTCCTTGAGTAAATATATTTTTTAAAGTAAGATTTTATGATCTTAGAGAGTGTCAAACTTACTTAATTGGAAACGTAAATTTAGAATAAATCTTGTACCATTTGTATCTACCTACACTGACATATGATATATATTGACATACCTTAACATTTCCTGCTTCCTTAATGGCATAAATGAGTTTATATTGATCGTTTATCTGCAAGTGATTCACAACACAGATGACCACATCTACCTGCTTTATCGCCCTGACCAAACTCTTATGATCATGTATATCTCCCTGTGTATAAATAATGAACGTACATGAAACACCAACATCGAAGAATTTAATGCAAGTTATGAAAGCACATGCTAGCTTTGAGCTTAAATAAGGTTTTGCATGTAGTACCAAAACAACGTTGACACCCAAGGCGTTGAATTTTTGAATGATGGATGATTTGATAGGGTCAGAAAGAGATGACTCTCGAACTAGGGCAAAGGTGGAGTGGCCAGCCTTGGCACTGGCCTCCACCATGAACTTTCCCAAGAATCCAGTTCCTCCGATGATGAGAATCTTAGTAGTGGCCATTAATTACGAGAGATAGTGAAAGAGGAAATAATACAACTTTAATTAGGAGAGACAGTGGAAGAGGAAATAATGCAACTTTAATTGCTACGTGATTGCGGTAGTGGAGTATATATAGAAAGACATGCATGTTAGTTATACTTTGGGCAATATTGTCATACATAGAAATTCAAGATATGCACATGTCATTACTTAAGTCACTATGATAATAATAACAATAGCATTTAATAAAAATTGAGATTGACATCAACTTTTATATTTAATATAAGCAAGTTGATAAATACACACTAATAACTATTAAACTATATTGATTAGGTCGTTAAATAAGTTAGGCTGATTCTATTCGTGTTTAATTTGATAGGCTAGTGCATTTAAAGGGATCCAGCTTGGCTCAACCCAAATTTTTTTAATGGGTTACTTATTTTCTAACCTAGCAAGTGAATCAAATTGATCCATATTTTTTTCTCTTTCTAAATTTATAAAGGAAAAACAAAAACAAATTCATCATAAGCTCTTAAATGATTAAACAAAAATAATAATAATTTAAGAGTTTTAACTAAAAACAATAATAATAACCTATTTTGCATAATCTTAAATTTTTAAAAATAAAATTAACTTGAAAAATTAAAATGCTAAAATTGCATATAATTTAATTAAATCTATTTTTCCCCTATTTATCTATAACATATAAAAACAATAGCCTAATTTGGTGTACATATTTTTTTATAGATAATTTTATCTTTAAATTTTAAATAATAAAAAATAATATTAAAATTATTCATTTTTACAAACAAAATACTCAAATTCAAGACTTTAACGTTCGAGAATCAAACATAACATCAATTGATCTAATAAATATTGGTATTTTTTAAATATTTTTATTAAATAAAATATAAATATATGAAATATCTCAACTCTCCTAATTTGTTTAAGAGTAAAGATTATTATTATTTCACTAGACGGTCTCAAACTTCTATAAATTAGACATTCAAATATTCAACTAGATATTTTCAGAATATTAGTCAAAATAGAAAGAAAGAAAATAAAGGAGTTATTTAGACTAAATCCATTAAAATTTAAGTTCCACCTTCGTTATGTTAACTAATGTCATTGTACACGACCATCTGTACGTGGAAAAAAAGTTAAGGTCTATGAAATGGGTAACCCAGTCAATTTTATTTTAATTTTTAAACCAAGTCAAATTTCAATCTATGAAATTGAGCCTAGACTTGAACTGAGTTCTAAGAGGGATTTTATTTTTTAAGATGACCTCAATACAAGATTGTGACCTAAATTGTTGGAATCCTAAGTTCATCATACCTTCCCGATCACCCCGACAAAATAAAATAATAGGTGATTAACTTTTGAGTTTTATTAATATTGTTTAATCAAAAACCTATACTCTTCAACCATAATTTTTAATTTAATTTAATTCTATTAAAATTTTGAAAGTATTAAAGGTTTAAAAAATCAGTTAGTCTATGAAAATTTGCATGTTTTTTTTAAATGGATCCTTAAATTATAAAATTTTATAATTGAGTCATTTATAATTGAGTCCTTCATCTTTTCAAATGTGTGTAATTAGGTCTTTGAGGTTAATGATATGTTTAAAAATTATTAACTTGCGTTAAGTAATTAATTACAAAAATTAGAAAAGGTCAAAGAATAGTTTAAAAAGTTCACAAATTATTTAGGCTAAATTATTCGTTTAGTTTATTTATTTTTGTCAATCCATAATTTTAATTTTTTTATTTTAAAATAAAAATATTTAGTTCTCTATTTTTAAAAATATAAAATTTTGATTATATTATCAGGTATTTTTTTATTATTAAATTTTAAATTGATGACTTGTTACTACTTAAGTAATGTGATATATAGTGATATGATATATAAAATTAAAACTTAAAAAATAACATACAATTTTTTAAATCTATTTTAAAGAGTAATTGGCATTTGTTTTATTCATAAATTTTCTTTATATGTTTTTATAGTTTTTTTTATCACCAAATATTATATTATTAAATGTTACAACAATTAATTATAAATAAATGTTAAAATTTAATAATTAATGATTAATAAATATCAATTTGATAGGATCAAAATTATTTAATTTTAAAATTAGAGATTAAATATATTTATATTAAAATAGAAAAATCAAAATTATATATTTACAATCTAACCTAAAATTTAATAAATAGTGTTCGATTAAATTAAAGCGTTCAAACCGTACAAAAACAAAAAAGTCGATTACAACCATGTAAATATATTATAAAGAGTAGTCAACCGAAGTTAATAAAATTGTATGTCTAAATCCGATAATAAATAATAAACAATAAACATAACAACTTGAATACATAAAAATTGTTCAAATATGTACAAGAAGCAAAATTTATCCGTAGAAGAGTTCAATAAACAAATAAACAAACTACCTATGAATATAAAATGAATATTTTCTGTGAATATTAAGAAAAGTTTCGTTAGTTTTTCTTTCTTTTGAAGAATTTATTGATATACAAAATAGTACATATAATTGTCATAAACATGCAGATTCTTGGATAAAAAGTTAATATAATTGACCTAGTAACAAAATGCTGTTATGTTCAATCTTTATTGTTGCCGTTAAAATATTATTTTACCGATAAAAGTAAGAACTATAAACCCTAAGTCGTTAACAAACAATAACTAGTAGAAAAAAGGTTAACAAGATTATGGGAGAATAAAACTATTCTATTAAAAAAAAAAATTTAATTGTATGTATGTTTGCCCGGTTGCCCAAATTCTGCTAAATAATTGCTATTTTCCCCCTCACGTCTTTTTTAATTCACTTAATTGTACGTATTTCCTTGATTGCAAAAGTCAACTCCTTTCATTTTCTCTTCATGTCTCTCACTAAGGTAATTAAAGAGAGAAAAATAGACTTTCATGGAATTTAGGTGATAAAATAAACTAGAATGGGCAGGAAGAGTGTTACATTTTATATATTGATTTTGAATTGTTTGCTTGCTTGACTGATTTTGTGTGTTGTAAATTTCTTTAATTTTAATTTTCTCAAGTTGAAGTTTCTTTCTATTTTGTTTATATTATCCTGAATGTGCCGTTAGTATATGGTTCAGTTTCAGTGTGATGATAACTTAGGTTTTTCCAACTTGGTTATTGAATTGTGAAAAATTAATTTAGAATTAATGACTATGGTTTATGAAACCTTCAGGTACTTCAAAGGGTTAGTCGTGGTGATATCTTTTTAAGGTAATTTCTTTTTCTTCCTCCTACGTTGAATGGTTTGTGGGGAGAAAATAATGCTGATTTTGTTTGGGTTAACATATTGTACATGGACCAATTGAGTATCTAAATATTCTATTGGTATCAAGTCTTTTTAGTAATGATAAAAAGTAAATTTACAAGTAAAAAAATATATCTTTCCAACGAACAATTACACCTATAGGTACCATTTAAAGAATTGTAATAAGAGAAACTATGGTGAAAATAATAATAATAATAATAATAAATATTATGATAATATTAATAATGATAAATAATAATCATGATTTTTTTTTATGTTTGAACGTTTGTATCGACTTAAATTATAAATGTGAAATTTTTGCCTAAATTAAAACATTTTTTTTCATTGAATATAATTGTCCATATTTTATTGCTTGAGTTGAATTTTTTATTATTGTATTTCTAAAATTTGATTTGTAATTTATTTGAGACCATAGTACAAAAGTTAAGTTCTTCTATATTATATAGTCACATTATTTTAAAATAAACTTTAATCGTTACACATGTTAGTGAAAACGTGAAAATGCTTACATATTATTTTATAATTTCTTCCTTTTTCTAATATATTTTTATATATGTAAATCTAGCTACACATTCACTTACAAAAAAACTAACTATAAATTCACTTAAGAAAATAAAGTTTCTCTTACATCTCCAAAGTAGATTCACAGTTTCACCACTGTTGTTACCACACTCCACCTCTTTTTTAATGACTACTTCTTCTCTAATATGACGTCCTTATTCTCCTTTCCTCCATTGCCTTCACCTTTGTCAAATGCAACGTTGATTTCAATCTCTCCATGTGAAGACCATGTTTAATGAGAATAAGAGGTCATCCATTTTCTATTTTATTTTATTTTATTTTATTTTATTTTATTTTTATTTTTATTTTTCAAGAAAATTGGCAATCTTACCATTGTCGTTACTACACTCCACCTCTTTTTCAACAACTACCATTTCTATCATTTTTTTTTCTTTCTTTTACGAGTGGATTGACAACCCTACCATTGTCGTTGTCATGTTTCACCTTTTTCTCAACAATTATCTCTTCCACAATATGACGCTTCTATTATGCTCTTCTCCACTGTCTTCACCTTGGTCAAATGTGATGCCAACATCAAATTCTTTATTCCAAAATCGTGCTCAATAAAAATAAAAGATCATTCATTTTTTTCTATTGTTTTCTTTCTCTTCAATTTTACAAATGACTTATCCTTAAATGTCTTCTTAACTTATTTAGATCTATGAGAGATTTGTAAAAATGGGATAACATTACACAAATCTCTCATGGATCTGAATTGTAAATTGTTGATGGAAGAGGTAAACACTATAAATCCTAATAGATGAAATAACATTGTACTACGAAATGTCACATGAAATTAAACAATGGACTTTGAAAAAATCATTGAGGCAAAACTACATCCTTTTGGAGAATCATGGAACTAAATTTTTTCTTCATCTTTACAAATTTCCTCTATTATTTTTAATTTATATTTTTCTTTGTTTAGAAGAGTTTTAGAATTATTTTTTGAAACTATATTTTTAGAATTATTTAAATTTTGTTTTGAAATCTTCATAATTTTTTTTGTTACATAATTTTAATTGAACAAAATAAAAAATAATTTGAATGTCATTGCGTTTTGTTGTCTTGTTGGTATTATTTGTTCTTTCTAATATTTCACTCACTCCTTATAGTTGATATTTAAATTGTTGTCTCTAATTTTTCTTCATTCTAATAATACATCACATTTTTATTTTTTTAGTCCTTATCTAATACTTATTGTCATTTTCTTCTCTTTT